CTTCCTCTCTGTCTCCTCTCCTCCTCCTCCTACTTCCTCTCTGTCTCCTCTCCTCCTCCTCCTCCTTCCTCTCTGTCTCCTCTCCTCCTCCTCCTACTTCCTCTCTGTCTCCTCTCCTCCTCCTCCTACTTCCTCTCTGTCTCCTCTCCTCCTCCTCCTACTTCCTCTCTGTCTCCTCTCCTCCTCCTCCTACTTCCTCTCTGTCTCCTCTCCTCCTCCTCCTACTTCCTCTCTGTCTATGGGACAGCAGATTTCATACACATGGTGGTTGCTGAGATTTGCCTGTACTGGGGCACGATGGTAAACCACAATGCACTCCCTGTAATCCGTCTCCATAGATAAGAGGAAGGTCGGAGCTCGCAGAGATTGGGGAACACTTGTTGTCTGAGAACTCTTCCATAGCTGGATTGTTGCCAGGGAGGGTGTACACGGTCGCACATCCACATACATGATCTCCGCTCAGAGCAGGATTCCGCGGCTGGGTGTACAAGGGGAATTGTATGTGGCCCTGAGCCATGCGTCGGGTGCGTAGTCACCCTGTGTGTGCGTGATGGAGGTACTGAACTCTGACATTTCCCTTCCAGTCAGAGGACATCCGCCTGGAGCCCAAACTCTACGACGCTTGTAAGACGGACATCACCGCCATCTGCCCTAATGTACCCTATGGGAACGCTCAGGTGAGTCTGCCCCCTACTGGCCGGTTTCCTCTCTCTCTGTATTGCGTCATATTAACCGTTGTGCGTTGTCCCAGATCATTGAGTGTCTGAAGGAGAGTAAGAAGCAGCTGAGTGTGGCCTGCCATCAAAAGATCTTCAAACTGCAGGAGACGGAGATGATGGACCCCGAGCTGGATTACACGCTGATGAGGGTCTGCAAACAGATGATCAAGGTGAGAGGCGCTCCCTGTGCAGCAGTGCCCGGGAATTACCCTGGAAGCAGCTCCCAATCCCATAACATTGCTCCCTGTGTTCTCTCCACAGAGGTTCTGCAGTGACGCCGACCCAAAGAACATCCTGCAGTGTCTGAAACAGAACAAGAACACAGAGACCATGGACCCCAAATGTAAACAGATGATCACAAAGCGACAGATTACACAGAACACAGGTGTGTCTTGTATACCCATCCCGTGTTCCCTGTATACCCATCCCGTGTTCCCTGTATACCCATCCCGTGGGGGGTGTCCCACGTTCCCTGTATACCCAGCCCGTGGGGGGTGTCCCGTGTTCCCTGTATACCCATCCCGTGTTCCCTGTATACCCATCCCGTGGGGGGTGTCCCACGTTCCCTGTATACCCAGCCCGTGGGGGGTGTCCCGTGTTCCCTGTATACCCATCCCGTGGGGGTGTCCCGTGTGCCCAGTCATGTATCTGCTCTCTCCAGGACATGTATCTAAACCACTTGCAGCCTTTTTAGTCTCTGAGCCGGTTTAATCTTTGGGGCGGTTTTATTTTCGAAGTATGACACCAGAACATCTACTTTCCGTCTCCTCAGATTATCGGCTGAACCCCATTCTCCGCAAATCATGCAAAGCCGATATTCCAAAATTCTGCCAGTCCATCCTGAACAATGCCAAAGATGACACGGAACTGGAAGGACTAGTCATCTCCTGCCTGAAGCTGAAGTATGCAGACCAGGTATGTCAGGGACACGCATGAGGGACACAGACAATTGTGCATTGTTCCTGGTCACACCCTACGTCCCCATGGATCCCAGTCACTCCCCCCTGGATCCCGGTGACTCCCTC